TCGAAGGCTTTCAACCAACGTTTACTCAGTTGAAAGTTTACACCTGTCTTTGCCCATTTTCATTTTTTTGTGAAATTTTCATTTTTTCGCGCACATTAGCTTTAGCTTAAACTATGAACCCACACGCCCAGCTTTTAACGTCTAAGTGCATTCGAGTTCAATAAACAGACAATGAGAACAGGCACCTTTCACTAACTAATGCGACTTGGTGGCCATTGGCCACCAGATACTCATTTTGATTCCATTTAAACGCTGTAAACGGTAATTTAAATATTAAATACGGTAGTATTTTTTGGGATGTTTTAATGCAGAAATATTGACCTGTCTGTTTGTGTGTCCGTCTGCCGAAACGGTTCAGCTACCGGGCCAAAGTTTATCACTTCTTTAGCGCCCAGCCTGGTGGCTGCGTTCATACTTGTCAACATTGTCAATCAAAGAGCAAATATTTCCCACATCTGAGGTGCAAACAAAACACGCGAGAAATTAATGATGTGTTTCTTTATTATTTTGTAGCTATGCATTTTAGTATGAAGACTGTAGTGTTTTTACGCTGCGTTGACAATGAGGCGCTAAGCAAGAAGACCTCGCAGCATATCCACGGAGTGAATGATGATTGGTGGGGCAAATCGTTCGTCAGTGCGTCCGTGGTTTCGTCCACCAATTTGTTCTTGCTTCCGTATCTATCTATCTATCTATCTATCTATCTATCTATCTATCTATCTATCTATCTATCTATCTATCTATCTATCTATCTATCTATCTATCTATCTATCTATCTATCTATCTATCTATCTATCTATCTATCTATCTATCTATCTATCTATCCATCCATCCATCTATCTATCTATCTATCTATCTATCTATCTATCTATCTATCTATCTATCTATCTATCTATCTATCTATCTATCTATCTATCACGGCTGGGTGCTCCCGTGATCTATGCTTAACTCCGGTGGAACCAACAGTAGTATAGGAACGTCACAGGTTTGCGGGTATCGCAAGATACCTAACTCGTACCACGGCTAACATGTACCGTGGCCCTGCCGCGGTGGTCTAGTGGCTAAGGTACTCGGCTCCTGACCCATAGGTCGTGGGATGGAATCCCGGCTGCGGCGGCTGCATTTCCGATGGAGGCGGGAATGTAGGCACGGGCGCTCAGATTTAGATGCACGTTAAAGAAGCCCAGGCAGTCGAGATTTCTGGAGCCCTCCACTACGGCGTCTCTCATAATAATATGGTAGTTTTGGGACGTTAACCCCATATATCAATCAATCACCGTGTACCGTGGAACACCAAGAACAGACAATGGTAATTTTAATGTGAGTGCGTGAGCGAAAATGGCAGCATGTCCACGGGGTGAATGATGGAGAGTGGGGCGAAGCATCCATCCGTCCATTCCTTCTTGCTTCCGTCCGTCCATACGTCCGTCTGTGTGACCGTCCATGCGTTCATCCAGCCGGCCATGCGTGCGTCTGTTCGTGCGTCCACACGTCCATCCGTGCGTCCATCCCAACGTGCGTCCATGCATCCACCCCTGCGTCCATCTATGCGTCCATGCGTCTGTGCAGCCATCCATTCGTCCATCCATGCCTCTGTTTGTGTGTCCGTTCATCCATCTAGTGAACATTCCAATCTGCGTGACCGTCCGTGCGTCCATCTGCCCATCCGTGCGTGCGTCTGTTGATGCGTTCACACGTCCATCCGTGCGTCCATCACTGCGTTCGTCCATGCGGCCGCCCCTGCGTACATCCATGCATCCATCCGTCCGTGTAGCCATTCATGTGTCCGTACATGCATATGCCTGTGTGTCCGTTCGTCTATCTACTTAACACTTTAAGTACCATCATCTCGCGTCTTTTCATCAGATATTCCGCATATAGAATCTCCGCCATCCAGCGGACATTCCGATGACTAAATGAGAGGTTGTAAACACGCACTTTTTTACGGCTTGCGCTTGTTGTCTACTTCCAACCTTTAACCACCACGAGTTGATGGTACATACTAGTTTACTGTATTCATGGCAGTGCGGCCCAACGCTCGCAAAAACTTTCTAAAACCAAGAAGGTTACGCCCAGCGAGTATAACCTAACAACCCTTTCTTGTCGGATAGTGCTCAATGTCATGCCAATGGCTGCTAATCGGGAATGAGAGACAGGAGAATTCGGCTTTCAGTAAATGTGCACGCTGCGAATTTTTCATTGTTCAACAACGCACAGTAGAAATCTCCCACCGGCACCACCTTGCAGGTGAAAGTGTAAAACTGGTTTCGCACTACGACTACGATGAGGGATGAATGGGTGCCGATTTAAAAATGCTTCGCCCCTAAAAATCAGACATGTGCAGTGGTGAGTCGATGACTGCAAGGGATAAATATCATGGCCCCAGCTGAAATTGAACTCCCGCATTTTACATGGCAATCACGTAATCTACCACAGAGACACTGCTTTAAAATTACACTTGTTAACTTTAATGAGTTACGCGAAAGATTGGAGAACAAAAGGAAGACACCTGGACACAGCGCACGTCACTGCGTCCACGTGTCTTTTTCTGTATTTGAGTTTTTCACGCAACCCAGTAAAGATGAAACACCAAATCACCCAGCAGTCCGTGTTTCACACTTTTCAGGCGTTAATAATAGCTTTTCTGGCTTAAAGTCCTAAAACCACCATATGATTAGGAGGGGCGCCGCAGTCGAGGGCTCCGGAAAATTTGACCGCATAGGGTTCTCTAACGTGCGCCTAAATCTAAGCACACGGCCCTGAAGCATTTTCGCCTCCTTAGAAATCGCGAGCGCCACAGCTGGGATATGATCTCGCGACCTGCGTATTAGTATCCGTCGAATCCCTGCTGCGGCGGCTGCATTTCCGATGTAGGCGGAAACCTTGTAGGCCCGTGTTCTAAGATTTGGGTGCAAGTTAAAGAACCCCAGGTGGTCGAAATTTTTGGAGCCCTCCACTGCACCGTCTCTCATAATCATGTGGTGGTTTTAGGTCGCTAAACCCCTTATATCAATCAGTCATATCAGTAGCCGAGTGCATTAGCCACTAAACCAGCGTGGCTATGCAGGTGTCATATTGGGGAAGCGTCAATTATTGCTGCAATGCTGGCTATCAAATTTTACAAACTTCGCATATGTACTCATGCGATAAACCAGTCTCGCCCAGTTTATGCTAGTCAGTCGTAGTTAAGCGCCATACGTATAAGTTGATTTATATATCTGTGACCAGGGCTACGCAAATACTAACGTTATACATTAGCTTACTTATTCTGGTATTGCTAACACTCGTGTTGCTGTTGGCATCGTTATGAACGAACAAGTGAGTGAAACAACTCCATACACTATGCGGCTTAAAGAGGTTAAGGGGAGGGGGAATTGAAGCAAGACACCGGAATAAGGAAGTGCTTATACAAAACACGAAATGGTACGCTCAAGCTGCAACGAGTGGCCCATCATCGGTGTTTTAATGGCCGTGTTTTATTGATCAGTGTGTAAGGAAGAGGGGTAGTTAAAAGGTGAATTTTCGTGACACATAAGCGCGACAGGACTTTTGCAGTGGGACTGTTTATTTGTGAAGTGAAAAAGTTAAAGGTTGAGACTTATTTATTTTTAAAATTTTTACCTGATTACTTATTCTCCCGACACTCTCTCACAAGTGACCGGCGTCTGCCGCCATGCTCTCGCTGACATAGCAGGTTTACAAATCGTTTTGCAAAGCCAGGTACGCGTACAACTAACTAGTTTCCTACGCTGGCTAAACTTACCTTTCAGCGGATAATATGCGAACAGGACACGCATTTCTCTCCCCGTCTTTCACGGGCGGGGAATTCGTTCTCCGCTGCTTCACCAGATGCTGTGCAAGTGTTGTGAACAACGCGGCTGTCGAGCGTTGCCCAGCGGGATTAGTCAGTGACACTTTTATGGTATTCAACGAATTCGTCGGTGACGAGCAATGAGACGACCTGACGCAAGGCACAACCGGGCGCCTAACTAATGCCGCAATAAAGGTGCCCCTCTACCCCACTCGTCACGCTAAGCATTCTTTCGTGTTCGCGGTTCTGAAAAAAACTTTTGCACAGTACGCACAATGCAACGGAAAACAGAATAGGGGGCATTTTTCGCCGTTTACCATCGGGTCACGCCGATGGACGCTGGTCGCGCTGGTCACGCATGGCGGGAGACTATAGAGTTATCACGTTTCACTAACGTATAGCGTCGCTGTGCCCAGCGTGCGCGCTATTCAACGTCACGTTGGAGTGTATTGGGCCCTTCATGATACACTCATAGCCGTTTCGCTAGCTCCACGTATACCAAATTCGGTATTAAGTGTCGTCAATGAATGACGAAAGTATATCACCGGTAAAAACATAATAATCAAGACACGCGTGCCATGCAAGAACATGACAACATACCGCGTTCATAGCTTGCTCGCGGCCATATCACTAGCTTGACATATACTAAATTTGGGATCACAAGATGTGAATAGACGATGAAGCTAAACGACACATCCGAACATGATAATCATGACACGTAAGTCGTGTACGGCATAATTTACTTCCACCTCATAACGTTTTATTACCCTACAGTAATTACAATGTTCGGCTAGTATAAAAAAGTATTTCCCGAAATGATGGTGCATAACTTCACCTCGTTACTACCCAACCACCTTACGCTTAGAAAACGTTTTCAACATTGGGAGAATGTTTCTCAGACGCCAGTTGGCCGCCGCGGTGTGTACGCTAATCGGTCGCTGACGCGAAGGTAGCGCGTTTCATCTCAGCCACAATTTCATGGAGGCGAAATGGGATAGATCTGTGTACTGTGACATGTCAGTGCACAATTGAGCACACCATAAGGGGCAAATTTCTGGAGCCCTTCATAACGGCTTCTCCCGTAATAGCATCGTGGTTTTGTAATGTGAATCCCCAAATTTTATAATTACCGCTTGTGTGCGAACGTTTTTATCTGCTTACTGAGTAGCATAATATGCTTTGGTTACAGGCCAGCAGGGCGAGTACCAGCACATACTGAAAAAGGTGGACGTACCCGTCGTGAGCCACGATGATTGCCAGCAGCGACTACGTAGGACGCGCCTCGGGCCCTACTACCAACTTCACCCCGGCTTTGTCTGCGCTGGTGGGGAGCCTGGGAAGGATGCCTGCACGGTACGAATAAATATGATCTTTAAGCTAGACAAACTTTCTTTAAATTATGCGGCCTAAATACCACCCAGCATAGCGATGTCTGCGACTATTCAGCACATATCATTTGCCGGCATGTTGTAGCTGTTTAGACTGCCCAACGTTTCGAGTTGTTGAGAAGGCATTCGGAAAGTTGAGAGTGACGATCTCACCAATCCGTTGGTACCGTGGTGCATACGCTCATTTCTAGGTCTTAGATCGATGTCACAAGAAAAACTACCTTGACCTGATTTGAAAATACTGTCATGTGGTCGTGACAAAAACGAAGGGAGCAGACTATTGATCGAAGATGAACCTATTTGATCGAGCTGAACTTATGGCCAACAAACAAAAAGTATAGGCTTAAAGCAATACCGACTCGCACCGATAGTGGCGAACAGAGCGTCGGCCATCAATGAAATGACCAGAGGCGAAGCGTGTCGGTAATGATACACTTGCCATCGATCATTTAGCGTTATCGCTAGCGGCGATGTTGTTTCCAAAGAAATCTGAAAGATTCATGAAGTGGGCGTAATCTTAACAAAACCATCCATTACAGCCTCGAAGCTTCTCTAACAACGTAGGCGCGATTTTCGCTGAACATAGTGTAACATGGCGATAACAAACCTTGAAGAAATGTACGTGGCATTGCATCACTCTGAAGAAAGCATCGTCCCGATTCTTTAACAGCAGATGAAAGTATGAAAATCACGTAAGAAAGTACTAGCAAATAAATTACGATACAGCAATAACAACAAGAGCAACAACAAAATACACTGAGTTAATTAACGCCCATGAAACGGCTTGAGACGCGAGACGTGGACGACTTCAGTTCGCGATCAGCGTCATTAGGAGTTCGTGATGCCATCGGGATCAACCTCTGGGCCAAGCCAATATATTACCCTGTATGGTCCAGAATACCGGCGCACACGTTTTTCACGGAGTCCACGTAGGCGTATAGACATCCATACCCAAATACATTCATCAAGCTGGTATTCCACGAAGCGCCGTCGAAGATTGTAACGGCGGCTATCCGTCATCTGTTGGCTCTTGATGCGGAGGCGGGCGAGTTGTCAAGCCTCTTCGGCGCGCTGAAGGTACTCGCTCACATCGAGGTTTTCTTCGTCGGTGACGTTGGGTAACATGGCGTCGAGGGTCATTGCCGGGGTCTTTCCGTAGACCAGTTTGTACGGCGTCGTCTGCGTCGTTTCTTCAATGGTGGTGCTGTATACGAAGATCCCCTACGGAAGGATGGCATGCCAGGTCTTGTGTTCGATGTCGACGTACATGGCCAGCATGTCGGTGATGGCCTCTTTTAGGCGCTCGGTGAGGCCATTCGTCTGTGGGTGGTATGCAGTAGTACGGCGGTGGCTTTTCGGGCTGTATGCCAAAATCACCTGAGTTATCTCAGATTTAAACGCCGTACCTTTGTCGGTGATGAGAACCTCAGGGGTGCCGTAACGCAATAAGTTTTGGACAAAGAACTTGGCTACTTCTGATGCAATACTTCTGGGCAGGGCTTTTGTTTCGGCGTAGCGGGGGACGTAGTCTGTAGCTACGATGATTCACTTGTTCCTGACAGCCAACGTAGGAAACAGCCCAAGCAAGCCCATACCGTTTGCTGGAATGGTCGGATAGGTTGTTCGATGGGCTACAGAAGCCCTGCTGGCGTTGTCGGCGGTGTGTTGCGTCGCTGGCAGACTCAGCATGTCCTCCCATAATGACCGACGTCGGTGGCAAGGCGCCGCCAGTAGTATTAAAGACGATAGTCTTTTTTGGGGACCTTCGACGCAAAAATTTTCGTCCGTCTGCTGCCTGTCTGTCTGTACATTTGTCTCTTTGTCAACTCTTAACAGCATTGAGTATTTGAAACGGCCGACCCATCCGCAGCGCCCACCTATGTTGCTCAAAACTCAGCGTTCATAATTGCGCAATCGTCAGTTAAAAATAAATTATTGCGCATGTCTGGGGCACCATAACAACACGTATACATTCTGCATGAGTGCCTTTTACTAGAAAAGGCATACATAAGTAATTTTAAGGACTGTGGTGCTTATCACGCAGCACTGACCATGCAACGCTTGCATGGAAACGCTAGTGTTTCCAACGCTTTGCTAAAACGAGACGGTGGTGGCACCTACCCATCGCCTTGCGTTCTACACCTTATCACCTGTGAGACTGGCGCACACACCCGTCTCAGAACCACGTGCTTTGTTTTTGAAAAAAAAACTGCCAGATGGCGTTCATGTCTCACGTGTGACATAACTTGATGCACTCGTTCGCCTCTGCTGCAAGCTCGAGGCACTCTAACGCAGCGCTTCCAAAATACCATTCAAAGATTTCCTTGAGCAGAACATCAAACAAATGGTTTGTTCACTCTCTCCACCCGCAAGACTATCGTTTTTCGACAACATTTGCAGTATAAATGCAGATACTGTGCCAACTTTTTTTGTATTTCTGCGAGCGTGCGGGAAAAATCAAGGTGTCCATCCGCTGGGTTGACGTGAAGGGCCTGCATAATTCGGCGTCGCATTGCTGAAGGTACCACGATAAGTTAGCTGGCTCGGGTCATAGAAACGTTCTTCTTTACGAGGTCGTTTTTTAAAAAAAATGACGCCAGACCCCGCCTGAACACTTTTGGGACAACACTAGTGAGACCCTTGAAGTATTCCACTAGCCCTTCAATTTCGGGGTCGGCTTGCCGTCACTCGGCGAAGTCGTCCGCACTTATGGTTCTCAAGAAGTACTAAGCATCCTGGCCATCCTGCGGTGGAGGATCGACGGGGGCACGAGAGAGGCAGTCGGCGTTGGAGCGTTTCCTTCCGGACTAGTACAGGACGGTAATGTCGAATTCTTGAAGTCGTAGGCTCCACTGTGCGAGGCGATCTGAAGGGTCTGTCAAGTTAGCTAGCCAACAGAGGGCGTGGTAGTCGCTCACAACTATCTGCAACCAAGCCTGCAGAGGTAAAACGGGGGCTTAGGCAGGGGTGCCCCCTGTCACCTTTATTATTCATGATGTACCTACAAGGATTAGAGGCAAAATTAGAGGGAAGTGGACTGGGCTTCAACCTCTCTTTAGTCAAACAAGGAAAACTTATTGATCAGGCACTACCAGCAATAATGTACGCAGATGATATAGTGCTAATGGCCAACAACAAGGAAGATTTGCAGAGATTGATGGACATCTGCGGTAATGAGGGAGATAGGTTAGATTTTAGATTCAGTAGGGAAAAATCAGCAGTCATGATTTTCAATGACAACGAAGGTAGTGAGCTTAGAATACAGGAGGTCACGCTAGAGATAACAGATAAATACAAATATTTGGGCGTATGGATAAGCAATGGGACCGAGTATCTGAGGGAACACGAAATATACGTGACGACTAAAGGTAACAGGAATGCAGCAGTCATGAAAAATAGGGCACTGTGGAATTACAATAGGTATGAAGTTGTGAGAGGAATATGGAAAGGGGTCATGGTTCCTGGGCTGACGTTCAGCAATGCGGTCTTGTGCATGAGATCAGAAGTTCAAGCAAGATTACAAATTAAGCAACGTGGAATAGGTAGGCTTGCTTTAGGAGATCACGGGAATACACCAAATCAGGGAGTACAAGGTGATATGGGATGGATATCATTTGAGGGCAGGGAAGCTAGCAGCAAGATAAAATTTGAGAAGCGATTGAGAGAAATGGGGGAAGAGCGTTGGGCTAGGAAGGTTTTCAGCTACTTGTACATGAAGAATGTCGATACAAAATGGAGGAAGCGAACCAGGAAGTTGACTGGTAAATACTTAGAAAACAGCAGGTGGCCAAACCAAAAAGAACTATCGGTCAAGAAGAAAGTGAAGGAAACGGAGACTGACATGTGGAGAATGGGCATGATTAAGAAGTCCGCATTAGAGATCTATCGAACTTTTAAGCAGGAAATAGCCAAGGAAAGGATCTATGATAATACGCGGGGTAGTTCTCTACTGTTTGAGGCCAGGACGGGAGTACTGCGAACCAAGACATATCGAGCCAAATACGAAGGGGTCGACACAGTATGCAGTGCGTGGGGAGAGGAAGAAGAAACTGCCGAACACTTGATAATGTTCTGTAAAGGGCTTCACCCTATAGTTCAGGATGATGGCGCAGAGTTTTTCAAAGCACTGGGATTTAGGGACAGGGAGGGCAAAATAGACTTTAAGCAGGTAGACTTAACTAGAAGGAGGTTATCTGATTGGTGGCTAAAGTCAAGGCACGAGTGAAAATTAAACCCTTCACTGCGAAGTACGAATCCTCAACTTCATTATTTAAAGGAAAAAAAAAGATAGATGTAATGGTTAGTTCACTAAGTATCACGGCTAGGTGGCGTTAGCCGCCGCCCGATCTAAAGGGTACGGCCACATCCATCCATCCATCCATCCACTATGAAAGGCCTGCCGTAGAAATAAGGGGGGGAATAGTTACACTGCACAGATGATGGCGAGGCACTCCTTTTCTGTTGTTGAATAATTAGCCTTGACCTTGGAAAGCGATTGGCTAGCATAACTGAGAACTTCTTCCAGGCCGTTGGTCTTTCGAACAAGGATGGTGCCGAGTTCTGTGCTGCCTGCGTCGGCGTGTTCGTCAAAATGCACAAGTAGTGGCGGTGTCGGCAGGCATGGGCGTATCAGCCGGGAGGACAAAGGGGGCTCCAGCCACCCCCCCCCCCCTAGAAAGGATAAGGAAGAGGTGCTGCGCACGGTAGTTCTGACACGGTAGTTTACCGGTGAGGTCTGTTCGACAACTTTGTATGGGCCAAGATAGCGTGACTCAAGCTTCTCGCATAAGGCAGGCGTTCGCGAAGCCGTCCACAGAAGTACATCGTCGCGAGGGCGGTAGAGAACGACGTGGTGAGTGGCATCGTAACGATGTTTGCAATATTCTTGGCTAGCATTGGTGTTTACACGGGCAAGACGACGGCATTGAGCAACACGGGACAGAAACTGGTTGCAAATGAATGGTG